CCGCCCGCCACCACCCCACACCCCTTGGCTGCCTCCTCTAAGCCAGGGGAGAGCTGAGGGATGGAGGCTGGGAAAGACGTTCTCAGAACCGATGCTCGGGACCCACAGCCTCCCGCTCGCCTGTCGTCTGAATGCTGCTCCCCAGCTGCAGGACCCTGGGGCCCACCGGTGTCAGAGCGACGCCCCACACTGCACAGCGTGTGTCATCATCTGTCGGTCAGGCCGTCTCGTTTGGTCTGTCCAGCCCACTGTAGGAGGAAGGGAGAGCTGGTGGTTTCCAACCTAGGCCGAGGCCAGCACACAGCTTCCCTGCGTTCAAAACCAGCCAAAAAATAAGACCCAGAGGTGACAGGAAGAGGACCGGTAGCTGCCTCCACCGAACAGCTTGGACGTGCAGCACTGGCCTTCCGTAAAACTCTGGATTGGAGGCTGTGCTTACCTGCTGGCCCCGGGAGCCTTGCAGAAAGCGTGTGTGCTGAGCCCCAGTCGGACGTAAACAACCACAGGCCGCCCTGGGAGGGCTGCAGTGTCCCCTTGGCGAGGGCCCTGGGGTGCTGGAACCACAGCCTCCCGCAGCGAAGGGGCCAGCAGGGGATGCAGGTCCCCCCACGGTCCTTCCGGCCTCCCGCTTCCCACCACCCTGCTGATGAGCCTAGGCACGGGTGGTTCTGATTCGTCATCCCACACAACTCCCGTCAAAAGAGCTGCCCACTGCCCGCCACCTGCCAGCAGTTTAGAGGACGTCGGACATCTGCCCCTTTCCATAAATTATTTAACTTCTCTAACCTGAACTTTTCTGCTGGGTAAATAGGGTTGGGATTGGTAGACTTTGGGTGTATGTGCGTATGAGGGTGTGTGTGAGTGCGTGTTTGTGTGTGAGGGAGAAGTTGTTTGTCTCTTTGTTTCTCTGATAACAGGGATTGAATTCAGGGCCTTAATACTGAGCTACATCTACAGCTTTTTTTTTTTTTTTTGTGAGACAGGGTCTTGTTAAGTCATGAAGTTGCTAAGGGTCTTGAACTTGCAATCCTCCTGCCTCAGCCTTCCAGAGTGCCGGGATTACAGGCACATGCCGCCGTGCCCTGCTGTTTGGTAGTTTTAAAGCTTTAGCAGCAGCACACATTTTACCATGTGAAACTAATGCAGGACCCCAGCACTCACACGGGAAAGAAGCGATAAGGTGTTAGCACGAATGTGTTACTATTCCTTGCAAACTTCTTTAGAAAATCATCCAAGAGGCTTCTGTCACAGGATTCAAATGCAGGGAGAGGCAGGGCTAAAGGCAGCGGTAGCAATCTCCTGTCTCCATCCACATCTGGGGTGTCTCTGTATATCATCTGGTGTGAAGGCAGCCCGGTGTGAAGGCAGCCGTGACCCTCCCAGCCACCTGTCAGCTTCAGCATCCTTTGAACCAGTGTAGGTGGTTTAACAGGGAGAGCAGAAGGGTTTTATTGGTGAGCGTGGTCCTGACAGTACCATGTGTTCATCCAGATCGCTTACAATGAACGGACAGGCCAGAGCGGAGGTGCTCAGAGCTGCAGGAAGCGACGCCAAGGGACACCATTCACGGGGAGCTGCCTCTCCCTAGTCCTGCCCCCCCACTCTGCTGAGAACCAGGCTCCTAAGGAGGCGCCCTAACTAGCCAGCCAAGGTGCCCGTCCTCGCCACGTCCTCAGAGCTCTCGCACGGTGGCCCCCAGGGACGCCGACACTGCAGGACGCGTGCGGTCCTGGGAAGGCCCGCGGGAAGGCACAGGCAGTTCTGGGAAGGGGTCGATGGTATCTGTAGGTGGGACGTGCAGAAAGGTTCCACAGAGCCAGAGCGTGGGCCCGGGCCGTCTGCTGCTGGGTACGCTGCTGCTGATGGTCCCTGCTGCCCTCGCCTGCAGATTCTGGTCTCTGGCGCCTGAGAAGTTTGCTCAGGCCCTGGCCTGGCTTTCCTAGCTCCTCTGGGGTTCAGTCGCACAGACAGAATAGAGCTGGGAAGTGGGGTGGGCGCCATCACCCCACCCTGTAGCTGCCGGGGGCCTGGCTCCCTGGCTCCAGGCCGCTGAGAAGGACATGTAGCAGCCGGGATCCTGGGCTCTGCACACACAGTGCCCAGGCCCAGCTCAGAGGCCTTGGACCAGCTCCTCGATCTTGCTGCGCTTTTGTTTCCTCATCTGTAAAACGGGAATAATATTCCTGCTTGATATAGTTGCTGAGCGTTAAATGACTAAAAGAGCCTGTCGCATAGAGACCTGAGTAGGAAGGACGCAGCATGCCTTTTTCCTTCGTGAAATCAGTTTGTCAGTTAAGGATTAGTTGTTGGGTGCCTAAAATATACAAGTACAGGGAAGACATTCTTTTTTAAAAGGTAGAAGTGACAGCACACTGTGCTCTACCTCAGGGAGCACCAGTACTAGCGCAGGCGGGGCGGTGTCTTCCGGCTTCAACCCTACCTCCACTGTCTTCCCACTCCGGCCTTGCCCCTCCTCCTAAGTGTCCAGGAGCCTTGCTGTCCTTTGTCCCTGGGCTGGGGGTGCAGGGAGGGTTCAAGTTGGCCGCTTGAGATGCGAGGCACCAGCCAGTGCCTGAGCTGCTCTCCGGGGAGGAGCTGCAGCCAGAGTGCAGAGGTCACCTGCTCGTGTCCCAGGCATGGAGTGAGGGCCAGCCACATGCCAGGCACTGCTCCGGGGCCCGCAGCCGCACCCGAAAGTTACCGAATGATTCAGATGCACAGGAGTCTCTAGGAAAGTCTCACAGAAAGTAGCACGTCCGGGGCCCAAATAGGTAAATTCCTACTTAGGAAGAAACTCAAAGCCCAAGTGAAGGCAAACAGTGGGCGTCACCGAGCGGGCACTGGGCCCCACGTGCAGCCTGCCGAGCCCCACACAGCACCCGCCACTGGAACCCCCGGAGCCCCAGTCCCCTGACGATGGCCATGCCTGCCTGCCAATCGGAGGGCTCGGGCTGCCCCTGTCCCACCTCTCCTTCAGGGGTGCTCAGCCGCAGGGGCAGGAAGGCACGTACAGGGCAGCAGCTCCTCTTCACGATGGACTCGGCCTCCGCCAGCGTCCTCCTGTGCCTTTCAGTCCCCTCAGTGGGGTCCGCAGCAGTGGGGTGACACTGCTTTCTGGCTGTGGCCTCCTGTGGGTCGCCCCCCCTTGTGGGCCGCCCCGCCTTTCACAGCCCCTGCCTGGCCTTCCTCTGTCAGTCTCCACCTTCTGGGGTGAAGTCTGCGCCCAAACACTGTAGCTGTCGCTGCCATAACGGGCAGGCGGCCCTGCGAGGGGCAGGAAGGAAGAGCGCCCCCACGCAGTGCACCCTGCCAGCTCTGCAGACAGGGCTGCCGGCGCGGTCTGTCTGTCTGTCCGTCCGTCCCTCTCCAGCACCCACCCTTAACCAGTCCGCAGTGGCTGGGGACAGAGCCCAGGTGTCCTGGTCACTTCCTTGCAGGGTAGACCCTCAAGGACAGGCCTGCCAGCGGCCCCCTCCGGCCTGGCTACTGTAGGGGCACTGGGCAGGTGCACCCCAAGGAGCGGCCACCGGCCTTTCCGGGGACAGCGGAGGAATGCCGCTCCCCTCCTGCAGTTCCGCTCTGCTTGCTCCCCAACAGATGACAACAGAGATGGAGCATATGGCCCCAAAGTCACCCGGCATTCTGGGAAAGTGACACTGTGCTACCCCAGGCTCGGGGGAGGAGCCGTGGCTCCTGAGCACAGCTTCTCCCTTTGTTCTTCAGAAGGGCAGAAGGTCGCCTCTCCCGAGCCTGCGGAAAGGGGGTGTGCACACGTGGCCCCAGGGAGGACTTCCTGTCACAGGCAGCCATGAGAGAAAGCGGCACGGGGCAGCCGCTCACCGGGAGGAGAGTGAGGCGCTCCCGCCCCAGCCCCCACCCTGGCCTCCTGCTCCCCTTTCTCCCCCGCTCCCTCAGGGCCCTGCAGCTCTGTCCCCAGGGTGCCACGAGAAGTCCCGTGGCACATGCCTCCCTGCCGCCCCATGTCCCCAAGGTCAGTGCCGTCCCTGCGCCGGAAGGCAGGGTGAGGGGACACAGCACCGGCACAGGGAGGAGGCTCAGGCGTTCATTCCCCTCCGCAGAGATGCCTCCGGCCTGAGCTGGGCTCCAGGTGAGCCATGCAGCCCCATCCCTTCCCCCGCTGGCCCTCCAGGCCTCTGCGGGTGCTGGGGGCCGCATGACCTCCTGGCCGCCATGGCAGAGGACATAAGGAGCTCGCTGCCCTGTGCTGCTTTGAGCGAGCCGCTAGGGCCAGGGCTGCAGCCAAGCCCAGGCGAGGGGGGAGGGGTAGCGGGGAGCCCCCCATCCCTCTGCGGCCCGCTCTGGCTCCCCAGGGTCCCCATGCAGGCCGCAGAGGTTTTTGTGGGGAGCCCCCAGGTGTAAAGTGTGCAGCCACGAAGGACAAAGAGCGGGCTTGGCCCTGTGCCCCGGCCTTGTCGTGGTCAGTCCTGGCTGCGTCCGCTTGCTGCTGGCTTCCCTGGCTCTCGGGAGGCCGCGGCCTGCTCCCGGTGTACCGCACAGCGGGGGAGGGGCCGGCTAAACACAACCTGGGCCGCCTGTGGCTAAGTAGGTTAGAACCGAGACCGGCCCCTGCGAAGCCCAGCGCTCCCTCCCAGCCTTCCCCGTGTGCCTCACCCTCCCTTCGCCACAGGCTGTGATTGATTTAGAGGGGAGCTGCGCAGACGGCGGGAGCTAAAAGGCTTCGCCAAAGCCTCTGACCTGCTGATTCCCCGGTTTCTGGGCAGCCTCTGGACCGGAAGTGGTCACACGGCTGAACCCTGTCTGAACCGATGGAGGGCCGGGCAGTGTGGCACGGGGCCGGGGGCAGCTCAGCATCCATCCTGGGCCTCAGACTCAGGATGGGGAGGGGGCCAGAAGCGGCCTTTCCTGCCTGCCAGGGTCGTTGAGAAAAGCACAACCAGTGCCAGGCTGAGCAAGTGCCTTGGCGGGGCACTGCCAGGCGGGCCTGCAGACCGACGTCACCCCTGCCCCTCTTCCCGCAGGGCCACCCGTTCATCGTGCAGTTCAACGACGGGAACGCCACCGTGGTGTCCATGTGGGTGTGCAGGGCCCTGGAGGAGCGGCGCAGCCAGCAGGGCCCCCCGTGAGGCCTCCCAGGGAAGTCCAGAACCGGTCACCCGGACACCCACCCGCGGCCCTCTGCGTCCGCTGCCTGCACCAGAAGAGCTTCGCTGGCCCAGCCCCGCACTCGCCTCTGCCCTGCCGGCAGCGCCCCGCCTGGCAGTCCCCACCCCTGTCCTGAGCGCCGACTCCAGCAGGTTGGGTCAGGGCGGGCGGCAGGTGGAGGTGCCCTGGCCCCTGCTCCCCTCTGTCCTAACTGCTCTGTAAAGGTCAGGCCCTGTGGGCGGCACTGATTGAATAAAGTGTTACTGCCGGGGGAGGCTCCCCATGCAGCCGAGTGCTCAGTGTGTCCGGCGGGCCAGGCGGGGTCTCCACGCGAGCGGGGACCCCTGGGACAGGTTTGTCACCCAGGCATCCGCAGGCACTGGCGTGCTCCCCGCAGTCAGGTGACGAGGCCCGCAGCCCAGCCCTGGTGGCGGACGAGAAGCGGGTAGCGCGGAGCAGCGGAGCCAGGCCCTGAGCCCGGATCTCTGGCCTGTGTCTGACACCAGCGAGCTGACCTGACCCGGCAGCCCGGGAGGGACTGGAGACCAAGGCAAGGCCCGCGCCAGCGGAGAGGCCCTCGCCCACCCCACTGCGCAGCCGGCCACCAGCTCCTCCGCCCGCCCCACTGGACCTCTCCTGGGCCTCCCACCACCACCCAGGTGAGCGGGGCGCCCGTGGCACGCTGGAGCCCAGGCGGAGGGGCTCCGGGGGCCTCAGTGGTCCCACCCTGCCCTCCGGGTCTGCAGCTTCTCCCTCCCCAGGGCCCGCACCTCAGTGCCCAGCTGGGCCTTGGGACCGAGACCACGGCGAGGCCGCCGTAGCTGCGCCTCCCCCCTTTCTCACCTCCACTGAGCCCGCCCCGAATTCCCATTGTCTTCACCTCTGAGGGGGATGGGCGCCGCCCTCCACACCCGCTCTGTAAGGGCCTCGACCCCTCACCAGGCTCCAGCGCTCCCTTCTCATGGTGGGGGTGCTGTTAAAACAGAAGCAGAACCAAGCCAGGCACAGTGGTGCGCGTCTGTCCTCCCTGGGAGGCTGAGGCAGGACTGCAAGTTCGATCCCAGGAGTACCCACCGGGCTCCCCCAGCCACACTGGAAAACCGCAGCCCCTGTACCCCTGCTCTGGGACCGGGGCCTGGCCGCACCGTTGTCCTCCTGTGTGACAAGCCGCTTTACTTCCTGTTGTGCCTGTGATGCACTAGAAGAGAAGCTGCATGAGGGCAGAGGTCCCGGTCCGTGCGCAGGGCAGAGACTCCTGGGCGTGGAGGGCACCACCAGCGCTGGATGGCCCGGTGGCCGCCGTGCGGGAGCTGTCCTTCCCCCTACGCCCAGCCCAGGGCCCAGGAAGGACCGCCGTCCCATGAGGCTTCCCTTGGCTTCCAGGACAGAGTCGGGGCCGTCATACTGCAGATGGCACCAGGCTGCAGCTGGCCCGGGTCCCCGACACTCCCTCTCCCTCGCGCTTGCCATTCCTCCGTGCTCAGCACATGAGGGGGGCTGCCCGGGAAGGGAGGCCCGACCCCGGCCGTGAGCCAGCAGCTCAGGGCTCACTCCTGTCTGGAGAGCGGGGTGGCCCCGAGTGCTGGGGGTCAGGGAAACGGGCAGGTCTCCTGAGTCAGGCGCCGTGCTCAGGACTTAAGTCTCAACTCCGTTCTGGCCCTGGGCCGAGCAGTAGGTGGTGTCGTCATTCTGCCCAGTTTCCAGATGGAGAAAGGGGCGCAGAGGCAGAGTGGTCCGCCCGAGAAGCCGCAGCCAGTCCGCAGGAAAGCGTTTGGAGCCCTGGAGCTCCGCACCCCCAGCCCAGGGCCGTGCACACCTGCACGCGCGCACACCGTTCTGTTTACACTTCAGGGCTCCTGGGCCCTCCGGAGCCCACTCCCCGCTCACCCCGCGTTGACAGCCCCCCCAAAGTACACGTTCCCCGCTGGCCTGAAGCAAGAAGGTGGGGGTGGGTGCCCCGGGCAGCTCCTGCACAGACCCCTCTGCCTGTCGAGGTGCAGTGGAGCGCAAGGCTATTCACAGCCTGGCACACGACTGTCACAGGCCACAAGCCCAGAGCCCCATGGGCAGGAACAGGTTCTCCCCTGGGCCGGAATGCCACCGGCGCCATCACCCAGGCTTGGTGATAATTCCTGCCCTCCTTTCGGGGCCCCTCTCAGCAGTTGCATTTCCTTTCTCTGGGTACAGACAGAGCCCCTCCAGAGCCGACAGAGCCTGGCCCATGTCCATCCCCAGGGCCTGGCCCGGGCCAGCACACCAAGGCTCCAAGCGGGCAGGGCACGGGGAACGCGGCCCTCAGAGCAGAACGTGGCCCCCAGCCACTCAAGTGCACAGTGTGAGGAGCATTTCCAGCACAGGACAGGCGGCAGAGTCCTGGCATAGAAGCAAGGAGGCCCCCTCAATACTCGGGCCAACTAGGCCTAATGGTACAGTCCTCTGGGAGGACTCTGGGAGGCTGAGGCAGGAGGATCCCAAGATTAAGCACAGCCTGAATAATTTAATGGTTTAGCAAGATCCTGTCTCAAAATATTAAAAACAAAAAAAGGTGAGTGCAAAGGCCCTGAGGTTAACGCCTAGTACCACAAAAAAAAAAAAAAAAACCAGGCCACTGTCCCTCCCTTCTCCCATCTTTGGTGTCCCTGCTGGGAAATATGTATACAAAATCCCAGGGTTTGGGATCCTCCAAGAAGGCGGTAACAGCAGAGGAGAAAAGTGGGACCCTCACTGCAGGCCCTGTGATCCAAGGCAGTGTGACCGGAGACCCAGCCCAGTCAGGTGGCAGCCCGTGCTAGGCAGCACAGCCTGGCCGAGGGTCCCCTGCCCCAGCGCAGGCGCCTAGAGCCTTGTGCCAAGCCAAATAGACCTGGGTCCTTAAGGGGCAACATGAGCGTCCCGGCCCCTGCACACAGGCCGAAGGCCAGAGCGTGAGCTCAGGGTGACGCCTCGGCATGGGGCGGGGCGTTAGGCTGCTGTCTCCCCAGACCCCTCAGCACATCCCCGGGGCGGGGGGAGCCCAGGGAGAGCTGCAATGCCACCTCAAAGATGGCACTGTCTGCTGCCCAGACTCCCCCTGGGAGCTCAGCATACGGGAGCCTCTGTCCCCAGTTGCAGTGACGGCAGTGGGAAGGGAGGCTGTGGGAGGAGAAGGAGACACCTACATCCCAGCATGGGGCGGGGACACAGCCAGGACAACGGGGACGGGTGAGCCGCAGAGAGGATGCTCACGGGGGACAGGGAAGCCAGCACAGCCCGGGCCTCCCAGTGACAAATTTTCTGCTGCCCAACCACAAATATTCGCTGTGACTTGGGACAGAGGCTGTGAGAGACTTTGCGGCCTCCCTTGGCGGTATCATTTGTCTTGTTTTGAAGGTGCGAGATTGCAGGCGCGAACTTATAGACCAAAGTTTGTCTTAATTGCTGCGGTGTCGCTGCCTCTCTGGCAGATAACAGCACAATGAACGAGTCGATGGGGCTGAGCCCTCCAGGTCCTTCTTCTAAAGTGAGACAAATGTCCCTCCTTGGAGCCCAACAGTCCATCGGCAGCCCCGCCATTTATTCATCTCCCTAACCGTTTGCATTCACTTGCACGGGATAAAAAGTCTCTCCCTGCCCACAGACTTAGTTAAAAGCAGCCAGTCAGGCTGGGCACCGGTCCTGCCCCGAAGCTGCTCTCTCCCTCTCCCTGTCCTGCTCCTCTCTCTCTCTCCGCAGCAGGTACGGGAAGAGCAGCAACAGAAAATGATGCAGGCGGCAGGGTGGAAGTTGTAAGAAAAAAACCAAACGCGGTTGGCCTCGCCGTGTGGGCAGGGCGCAGCAGGCACCCTCAGCCTGCCCCTTCCAGTGCGCCTTCACGGACCAGGACAGAGCAGTGACCCACCTGTGTGCCCACCGCGGAGCCGGCGCTCTGCTCCCTCTCTGCCTCTGAGCCCTGGTCTGCCTGGGACACTCCTCCCGCCACCCTCTGCCTCCTGCCCAGTTCCTGCCGGTCCTGCAGGCCTCCATGGGGATGCGGTTCCTCTGGGGAGCCCACCTGCCCTGACCCATGGGTGCAGGAGCCCCACCTAGGTGGTCCCCGGCAACATCCCACCTCACCATAGCCATTCCGCTCTCCTTGCAAGGCAGGGACTCAGGAGAGGATGAGGAAGAGGGTGGACAGGAGACCCAGGGCTTGGCCACATCAGACACTGTCCCTCAAGCCATCTAGTAAGAGTCACTTCTTTTTTTTTTTTTTGGTTTTGAGACAGAATCTCACTGTGTAGTCCAGGCCAACCTTGGACTCACTCTCTAGCCCAGACTGGCCTCACATTCATGGCAATCCTCCTGCCTCAGCCTCCTGAGGCGCTGTCTGGGAGTACAAGTATGCACCACCACGCCTGACTAGGAAGAGACACTTTAAGACACAAACACTGGAGGAAGGAGACTATGGCTGCCCATTTATTTCCTCTCTACTGCCTGCCTTGTTTCAAATGTAACACCACATGTATTGTTTTGTAATAAAATGTTTTTAAAATATTTTAAGCCAGTAAGCCCTCAGGAGGCTGAGGCAGGAGGATTGCCACAACTCTCAGGCCAGCTGGTGCTACATAGCAGAGACTCCATCTCAGAAAAACCAAAAATAAATAAATAAATCTCTGAGTTAGAAGCACTCAGCAAGGGAGTAGGAGAGGCAGGATTCAGTTGAGTCTTCTGACCCCAAATCTTCTGTCCCATGGCTTCCTGGGTCCCTTTTTGCCAATCCCATGGAGAGACAATGAAGTGGACCCATGAAGGGTGTGGACTTGCAGTCACACAGTCTGAGCCTGACTCAAATGACTTGCTGTGTGACCCTGGGCAGGGTGCCTAACCTCTCTGGGCTTCTGTTTCCCCACTGGTGGAGGTGATGACACTGTGGAAGTTGTTGACGTCACGGTTCAGTTATCACTGCTGCTGTGACGAGCACCAAACACTTTTAAAGGGCACGTTTCCTCCCTTCATACCCTGCCACCAATACACACAGACCCATACAGCCAGTGCCCACCACTCCCAACTTTTTCCTCTCCCCCAGAAGGGTCCCTCTGGCCTCCTTCCCCTGCCCGCTCCTCGGGGGAGAAAGCTGTTTCCAAAACAGCAAACCCCCTTTGCTTTCCCTGCAGGCAAGGCCACTTTAACTCTCAGAACCTCAGGGACAAAACGGGTGCGCTGGCACCCTAAGTCTTGGGAGAAGCAAGCAAGCGACGTCGGGGCTCAGCACAGGCCCTAGGGGAGGCCCTTGGTCCAGCTGGGGCACCTGCTTGCTCACTGGAAACCCCAGCAAGA